TTATATACAAATGCTTTATTGTAGTAAGAAAAAATCTTGTTACAGGGGGTTAGCATTAGAGATTTACAAAAAGATAATTAATACTTATTTAAACATTTTTTAAATATTTGGTTACATAATTTTTGATAAACATAACATATTAATCATTCAATTTACAACATCATATTTCAAAATTTTTAAAATATGAACAAAAAAGTTATGAATATTATACATTTTACATAACGGAATTTTTTCTAGATTAGTTCTGAAATTTTCTTCTTGACTTAAATCAAAAATTTCTTTTAATTTAAATTTACATTGCGCTTCTTCAATCTTTGGACACTCAATAAGAATATGGTAAATATTAAAAGATTCAGACTTGCACCAGTAGCATTTCTTGGAAAAATCAATATATACATTGCCAATCAGTAACGAATTGTAATTAAGACGTATCTGAATCAGCGTGCGCTTAATATTTAAATTAGTATTTGTTGTAATAATATTCGAACTTGATGGAAAATGTAACATATTTTGATACCAATAGTGATATGTCGAATTTAAAATGGAATCTTGATCCTTGATAACAGATTGAGATAAAGCAGAATTCATCATTAAGGAGTATGCGTGTTTACAGTTGTCTTCGGTTGAATTGAGTAATAAAGTAGAAATTCCATAAGATTGTATTATTTTAACGAATTTTTGATACCACGAAACATTTTTAGTTGATAGGCTTCCATTTTGGTTGCTTATTAATTGAAATAGAAATTTAATATTATCGTCATCAGTATTTAATATGCGAAGATAAAATTTGAATAAACGTTTCAAAAAAAATGGAAAAAGTTGGAATCTATTAGTCTCTGATCTGATTGCATAACCTGGAACCGTGCGTTCAATATGAAGTACTTTACGCAAAAAAATGATATGGAATTTTTCCAAATATTTGTAATAGACTAATGCCCAAACAGGACTGGCAGGATAAAAAAATAGATTTTAAATAATCATTAAGTGCATTAATTTTACGTTGTAAAATTATCCGAGTTGGGGCTAGCAAAACAAGATCGTCTGCATATAAAATGTAATGATAAATACGGCCATTTATTAGAATTCCTTCATTTTCATTTGTATATAAATCATCAATCTCACTTATGTAAAAATTAAATAATTGAGGCGATAAAGGTTCTCCTTGGAGTATTCCACGATGTATTTTTAAATCCGGAAAAATGTGATTATTATGAACTATATTAACTGTATATGATGAAAATAAATTTTCAATTGAATTGCAGAATTTAGTTCCAGCTCCTTTCTTTTTTAATTTGTATACCAAAGTAGGAACATGCACGGAGTCAAAAGCTTTAGATATATCGATGAATGCCGAGAAAATTTTCCTACGTTTTTTGTGAAGGTATATTTGTATAATTAAAGTCAGTAGGAATATAGACAGCTCAGTACCTTTTGATTTGGAGAAGGCATATTGAAATTGCGAATTTAAATCTTGCTCAGAGATCCAGTTTTGAAAACGAGTAGCGAGTATTGCAGTAAAACACTTCCTAATTACAGATAATAAAGCAATAGGGCGGTAATTGTTTGGTTCTGATCGGTTTCCCTTTTTATAAATCATAAGAATTTTCGCTAATTTCCAAGATTTTGGGTAAATGGAATCATTATAAAAATGGTTGTAGAGATCAAGAAGAAGTTGCCTACCCGCTGGCGGAAGAAGTTTAATAAATTTAGTGGTAATTAAATCCATTCCAGGAGCTTTATTCGTTTTTAAATTCCGAATTGATAAATCCAGTTCTTCAGAAGATATTGGGCTATCTAAAATTCCGTAATGAGAAATTTTTATATCAGGCATAGGAGAAACTGTAATTTCTGTAAATCTGTTAAAAAAGCTAGCCCATTTAGGAAAATCTATTTGAATTGATTGATCACAGTTTGAACATCGTAATTTCTTAATTGTAGTCCATAAAAGTTCATTAGTTTTATTTTCTAAGATTTTTTGTTGAATTTTTTTGTAATAATTTGATTTCTTTGTTTTTAATAAATTGAAATACGAATTTTTGGCTTGACGATATTGTCTGAATGCCGTTGGTGTAGATAATTTTCTAAACTGGTGTAATGCTTTAGTTTTTTTCATTCTTAAATTCATACAATCCAAATCATACCATGGGTTTTTTGGTCCTAGTAATTTCGAATTTCTGTTCTTTCGTGTTTTAACATAATCTTTTATTATATTTACAAACTTAGTATATTTTTCGATCTCTTCAGTTAATCTCTCATCCAATAAGCAACTCATTCTATCACTGATTTGTTCTTGGAATCGTTGATATTGGTAGACAGTTATCTGATACTTCGGTATAACATAATCAATATGACACGATTCTTTCAATCCAAAGTAAGAACTAACAGGAAAATGGTCCGATAAATCACAATTTAATACTTGAATTTCCGAGCATAAATCTACTAAAAATTCTGAACATATAAACAAATCTATTGTAGAGCTTCCCGAAGTGGCTACGCAAGTAAATTCAGAAGGATAGTCCTTTTCAATTCTACCATTAAGAATATATAGTTGAGCTTGAGTCGTTAATTTTAGAAGATCATGACCCATTTTATTCTGTTTAACATCTTTGGATTTACGAATGTTTTGAATTTTTACGTTCGGACCTTTATATAGCAAATCCATGGACTGTGCAATACGAGCATTTAAATCTCCAGTTATAATGACATAAGGAAAAGTATTTCTCAAAGTTTCGTATATACGAAATACTTCAAATAGTATTTGCTGTTGCTCGGGAGGAACATATACCAGAATTATAACCAAAATTTTATTTTTCAAGTTGTTTATTTCTAGCTTATTAATCAATAAATGAACAATAATATAATTATTTCTTTTTTGGGTATATATAATTTCTCCCATTTTTTTTTTAATTATTAAACCTAGGCCACCGAAAGGACGACCTGGTCCTGTTGGTTTTTGAGCTAGTTGGGTAATTATGTGATATTTTTCATTGTATTTAATCAGTAATTCAGGAAATGAAGTCATCCAAGTTTCTGTTATAGCTAATATGTCAGAATTCTTTATCAAGTTCGCAAATTCACTGGTGAAAATTTTCCGCTTAAGACCTTGAGAGTTCCAATTAATTATTACAAAATGGGAGACTTTTTGATTGGACGTAATATCATGTAAACTTTCATTATTATTATGTGCAGCAGGCAAGGGACTTAATAGTTGAGTCTTCACAGAACGTAAATCTTGCATAGGAGAATTTAAATTGATAATATGTCATTGTGGAGTATTCTCGGAAGTAGAAAACGGGGTAAAGGAATCCAAGTATACCAGCTCCTCCAACACATAGCTATACGTCAAAGAATAATTGCCCAACAGTATAGTGTCACCTCGGAGTTTTGGATATTTACCTGCTTTCCTTAACTCGCTTAAAAAAGGAATTAATTGTTTACGTCTTAATCTAGATCTTTTAATAAGGTCCTGTGAGATTTGAGTTTCTTTCCATACATTCGATAGGTTTTGCTGTTTCATTTTTATAAAACTCGAATATATATAATCTCTTATTTGAGTATTTTTAATAATTAATTTAATTGTTGGATACTGTGATTTAGTTATTGGAATAATCGCTATTAAATCATCCATTGTAACTTCATGTAATTCTAATGATTCATTAATAAGATTAAACACTTCTAGCTTGGTAGGACTAGTTTTACTGGGATATCTATATAACATTATATTATTGCGATGTTGCGCATTAACCATATTGTCCATTCGATATTGCATACTTTCATTTTCTATTTTCAAATTAGCAATCTGTTGTTCAAGATTAATTATTTGGCTATTCATTTTTTGATTCTGAACTTTAGTTTCTTGGATACTATTAAGAATCTGGTCCAGATCTTCTTTGATAATAGTCATTTGACTTAATATTCTCGTATTAGAAACATTAATTAATTCAGAAATTTTATTCCATAGTGTTATACTTGATATATCGGATTAATTTTTTCCTGGTGAAGAAGATAAAAAATCAAATGGCTCACCTGATAGTTGTGAACTTAGAAGTGAAGTTTCAGGGTTCGAACCTGCATTTGCAGAGGATGGTTCAGGAGAAGTTCTTTCGATGTGTGAATTATAATCAGTAATTAACCTGGTATTAGTGGTCGAAGCAGATTCCTTTCTATTAGTTGATTTTGACCTTTGACGTGGTGGTCTACCTCTATTAATTGGCGAGCGTTGCATATTAATTATGTTGATAGATTTTCCAACACTAATAATGTTAGTACACAGCACAAACAAAAGAATTTAACGTAAAATTGTTCGACAGGATACGTTCTTTACCTGTACTTGAAGTGAGTAAAAAAACGCGCCAGCAGCTTCGGCAGACAGAAGCCCCCCGCTTTGTCTAATAATAAGCTTTGTTAAATAGTTTAAGCTTTGTTTAATAATTTAATCAAAATAATAAAATTTGAAATTTTATTTCCTTGTAATAAATGTTTAAATGTAGTAATTAAACTTAAATTTTTAATAAAATGTATTACACATACCCAGGAATTCCTCCAGCTTCCATATAATTTGCTAAAGTGACATCGTTGGACCAGACATCAAATTGCCATTTTCTTAATCCCAATACTCCACAATGAACACGGCCAGTATGAATTCCAACTCTCATATTTACATCTACGCCAGTTACTTCTCTCACTAAACTAATATAATCAATTGAAAAAAAAATTAAAATTTATAAAATTATCTTTCAGAATTTTAATATATAAATTAAATACTTACGCAATAGCTTCTATCATATCTAATCCCATTTCTACGCAACACTGAGCATGATCAGGACGAGGATCCGGTAATCCACTTACACAATAATAACAGTCTCCTAATAATTTAATGCGTAAGCAATGATTTTCTGAAGCCAATTTATCAAAGCGAGCAAATAATTCATTAAGAATTTTAACTACTTCTTCTGCGGTACATTGGGATGATAAGCTGGTGAAACCACAGATATCGGCAAACAGGATGCTAAAATGATGACAATAAATTAAAATAAATAAATAATATTTACTTCTAATAAACTTTATTTGATGCTATTTTACCTAACATTTTCATGTCTTTGAATATATATTTTATGAAACATGGTATCTTCGGGTTTTTTTGCAATATCTGCTTTCATTTCCATAGCAACATGTCTAGGTAATACTGAGAGCAATAGACGTTCCTTAAAAAATTAAACTGCCTTAAAATTTGTCTAATTTTAAATACTATGAAGTATGACTAAGTATAAAATATAGTAGAGCATCGATTATCAGAATATTGATCAACTGAAACGTCAATTAACTGTAAGCTTTCCAGTCGGCAAGTTTAAATTTCCACTAGTGCTGTGATGCTGCAATATTTGGCTATGTCTTGGGCTACTCCAATATTATTTTTCTTGGTGTGCGTGTTTTAGATGGCAGCACTGGTGCGGCCATGAAAGAATAACTTAAGGACGTGCCAGGATTTGAACGAATTTCAACATGGGAGAGGTTAATATATTTTTTCGTACATAATTGGTTATCCAAAAAATCAATTTTCTGAACAGCCCAGTCCCCACTTGATTTGGATAACTGATGCTCTACTGTACTTAATATTCAAATTATAAATGATTAAAAATTCTCTATAAATAATGAAATTTAATTAATTTATAAATGAGCAATTATTTATTGCGACATTGTCACAATGCCAGGCTGCAATTTTTAATCACATTTTTAATTTATTTAATTTAAAATATATGCTCTCCACCTCAAATTAGTATTGTAATGTCTTACCCCTGTACATCATACTTTTTCTGTTAGCAATAGAGTTGTGCCTGCCAGTTGTCTATTAACTGCTTTTAGGGAAAAAGTTTTGAATTGAAATAAGGCGACTTCTAGTTTGCATCGGAAGTTTGTGTATAGTTAATCGGAGCCTCCTGCCTCTAAGCTTTCTGTATCTAGTCTCAGATTTCATCTACCTAACTCTGTTCTTGAGATTAAGGAAAGATGGACAGATGGACAGATAGTAGTGGGAATTTATAGTAAATAATTTTTCAAATTGCAGCCCAATCAATTTATTAATGCAGCATAAAAATAAAAGTAGTAATCAGGTGAGAAATCCAAACAATCTACTTTAGAGAAATTGTCTTTGATTAACCAATAAAGCTAACCTAATCCAACATTTGCCAATGAGTTTGAATTGAAGTCAAAAAGTCAGTTACCTATTGTAAAAACTAAATTTATATCTCATTCAAATATTTTATTACTTATTAATTTTACAAAATTTCTTACACAAGAGATCCTTTTTGTTCAGTTTACAAGTTACAACATTTTGATAAAATTTTAAAAAATTCCTTTGATAGGTTGTCAAGTAATACTAAACTCAGTTGATGCCATGGGTAACTGACTTTTGAACCACCTTCTTTATTTTATTATGGCAATATTAAAGTAAAAAGCTTCTGTACCATTTTTCACATGTACATAATAATGATTATAGCAAAATAATCATTATTATTTTGGAATTGCTAAACAACAAAAAATTGTTTAGCAATTCCAATTTATATCCAGTTAACAGAGTTTGAACAATTTAAGTGTTTTGACTATTTAACTGTATTTCAAAATTCAACATTATTATGATTTTAGCAACAAGAAATGAAATAAATCAGATAAACAACAATTCAAAACAGAATTTTGTAATCTAGAAATAAGTTTTATAATAAACAGATCTTAGAAGGAGATGTTTTTATTAAATTTTCCTTCAAGTTTTGTTCAAACATTGTTTAAACTGTGAGACATAAGAGATTTTGTTAGCCCACTAAAGCAAACATCCAAGAAAAAGAAACACATGCAGTAGATATTAAAAACTCAATTTATTTTTGCATGATATAACTATGTACAGGTTTGATAAAAGATGTCAACTCTAGAATGGTTACTCTGGCAGTAACCCTAAACCCAATAATTGATGAAACAATTACAAAAATAAAATGGCAATGTCACACTGAATCATGATCTATTGTGATCACGATTCAGTGTGACATACACGTGATCTAATACAATAAACAAGAATTATTATTACAATAATAATTTTCCTAAAACTAACTCTTAATACTACACTTACTCTAATAAAAGAAAATTGAAATAGGGACGAGAAGTAGTGAAGATGGCAGATAGGATAGGAAAGAATACCTGGGTCTTTCAGTTACTGTGAGGGGCATGTGTGAACTTCTTAAATGCAAAATACTTGCTTTTATCTTCCTTTCCCTCAGTTCTTGAGGGCTTTCTTGCATATTTTATCCTAAAAGTCAGTTGCACATTCAGACTCTTCAAACTGAAATGCCAGCTCTAATGCAATAACTTCAGCCTGGAAATTTCAAAGTTCCTATTCGAAGTTCTAGCCTCAACCATTTCTTGGCCACTGGATGCTGTAACATCTTTCTCCTTTCATGGTCCTCTCTTCCAGCACCAACCCAAAAGTGACTTTTCCTTTGTTCTCAGGTAACCTTGTATATAATGTTAATGAATTCTAAGAAGTTTCCCTCACCTCCAGAAAGAATAATTAAGAAGATTAGAAAGCTCTAGAAGGTGTCCACCTTCTAGAGTTTTCTAAGAACAAAGAGCAGGAAAAATTGTCAGAAGAACAAAAGCATATAATATGACAGACAGTCACAAAATGCTGAAGCAAACACTGAATGTTGATATCCCATGTTCTAATTTGATTCAAAGCCTAGAGAATCTTATGATGGAATAGTAGAAAAAAAAAGTTTTATCTCTTAACGATGTCAGAGCTATGGTCATTGGTACCAGGAAAAAATTCAGATTTTGTGCCCTCAAAAATTCTCTACAAGATAAGTTGAAATACTAAAAATTGTTTTGCTGATTGTGCCCTCCAGGGTTTGCACCCTGGCATGTACCCCTTTTACCAGCCTTAGCTATGGTGCTGTCCCTTAATAAAGTTTGACTTCTAAACCAGATTTAGCATTTCTGCAGATTCTTAGATAAATGTTTTCAGTCATCTTAATTAATTAATTTAAATATCCCATCTTCAGGACACTAATAAACATGTTCATATTCTAGAACAAATTATAAACATTTTCAAGTTCTATAATATAATTTAAATTCTAGAACTTGAATACAGCCATTTCAGATGGTCATTATAAAAACTCATTGCTGAATTACAAAGATTATCTTTATGTTTTGAATTGGTTTTAATGATAAAAATGTCTATTAAATTTAAGCCATTAAATATTTTACATTAATAAAAAGAAAACCAATTCCCAAGAAAAATTATTGAAATGTAAATAAATTTTAAATAATTAAAACTTAAATAGCAACAATTAAAAATTTAAGCTCTAACAAATTTAGGAAAGGAAATAACAATTATAATTAAAAAATAAATGTAATTAATATCTAACTTGTTGTTGATTTTCTTGTTGAATGTTTAAACGAGCTTGGATGCATTGTCGAGTTTCCATAAATGCTTGACGTTGTGATGCTTTACTTGGAAAGTGGGAGAATATTCCAGCAACATTTACAGCAATAAACAACAACAGACTTGCAAATAACTAAAATAATAAACAAACAAATATTAATTACATTAAAGTTGTTAAGAAAATTATATAGTAATTTACATGGTATTGGATATTAAAATAATTAATAGATAGAAAAATAATCTTAAATTTATTAAATGATTTTGTTAATACTTATAAGCTATTTGATTTCTAAAAGTCAAATTAATTATTAATAAAATAAATCTGTCTTAGAGCAAAACAGACAGACCTCTCATTAATATTAATTAAAAATACCTTAATCGAAATTTAATAATTAAAACTTTCTGTTGAATATTTAATTGTGATAGAAATAATTGATGTTTCAATAGCCATATTTATAAATATTAATCTTACAAAATAAATTTTAATAAGAGATTTAACATTTCTAACAAGTTTTAAAATTTCTTTTTTATTTACATATAATGACCTATAATTATTGATCTGTGAAGTATAAACTTCAGGATCAAGGTTGAAAAACTTATTTACATTGAATGGAATCAATTAAATTTATTATATAATAATTAATTTTAATTAATTCGTAATGATTGAAAGCTGAGATTAGTTAGGCCTATTTATACCTTAAAATTTTTGTAGAGATGTTTGTTTTGATGTAATAAATTTAAATCTTATGTTTTACACTGAATCCATTGTTAAAATAAATATGCAAATGTTTAATGAGAAGTTTAATTTAAAATTATTTTAATGCAGTTATTGTTATTTTTATTAATTATCAGTTGTCATTCTTGTTTTCCTTTCTCCCCCCTTTTTTTTTGTTTGTTTTTTGTACTAATTTAGTGTATTCTGTGCAAGAAGTTTGGCTTCTTGATATCCTAAATTAGGCTAAACTTAAAGTGCAGCCTTCATATTGAAGTCTTAAACTTTAGTTTTAAGAATATTAGGAGTTGTAAGAATCAGTTAAACAAGTTATAATAAATATTTTAAAAAACCTTTAAAATCCAGCAATATATTTATTTAATGAACATTTTAAGCTTTTTGAAAGTTGTCTTTGGGAAATACATCCTAAAGATGAGAGTAGGATTTATAAATTAGATATAACTTAAAACCTAATATCAAAATAAATCACACCTTCCATACATTTTCCTGCAACCAACACTTCATTAAAATGAATGGTTTAGCTACTTTTAGAGAATTTCTTCAGGTTTTAAACCAATACAATTGAAACATTTAAACTGAAGTCTATGAAAGTAACATTCTTACAACACTTTTCATATTATATTAGTGTAAGAACATTACTTTGTTGAAATTAAACATTTGAATTGTATTGATTTAAAACCTGAGGTAGGCCTCTAGAAATGGCTGAAAACATTCATTTTAATGAAGTATTGATTGCTGGAAAAGGTGTGGAAGTATAATTTACTCTTATCTGGTACCAGCTTTAATAGAAGTGCCTCATATCAGAGCCTACAGCTTAGTACGTATGTTTTTAAATTTATTATTATTTGATAGAAGGGAAAAAACCTCACATATATTAAGCATTAGTACCAGAAAAAGTCTAAATCCAGTCCTGTTAAAAATGATGTTCAAAAAGTCAAGAATCTTTAAAATCCAGATTCATATTCAAATACAAAATATGATGTGTGGCCAGATTGCCAAAGCAGTTATGGCATCACGCGACTGGATTTGGTCCTGGGTCTCCAGAGCAGTAAAGTCCCTCACAAATTTTTTGGGAGTGATCTGTCGCAAATATGATGAACCCTGTTATTCATTATCTGGCCTCTCACACTGAGAGTCTGGCCAAACCCATAATTGGTAACATAAAAAAAAATCCTGTTAGTGATTACAGGAGAGAGTAAAACAAATTGAGTTTATACAATAGAAACAAAAATCACATTTTCTAAGACAACTTAACAAGAACTTAACAACACATTTCCAATAGTCTAGTCATAGTTTCATTAATTAATTTTAATATACAGGATGATCCAAAAGTCAGTTAACCATTGTAAAGACTAAATTGTTATGATATTGAAATAGTTTATTACTTAAAAAAATTTCACAAAAATTCTTCAAAATGTCTTGTTCAATACACAAATTACAACACTTCAACTAATTAAATTATATCTTTTTAAAAATCTTCTGATAAGCTTGTTTGAACAATTCTTATAATTAACCAACCATCCTTATATATAAATACAAGTTTTTAGTATCCACTTACAAAATATTGTTCAATAGGATACTTACTGTTTGTAAGCAATTGCTTCCTGCAGTGTACTATCTATTATGCTTCTGTGTTTTCTTTACTACTCTTTGGAAAATACTAAAGAATATTACTGAATAAATCAGAAAAACAATTTTATAGTTTAAAAATGAAAATAATAAATTTTCCCTTAATTTAGTGAGTAGCCGGGGGTACAAAGCCGCTAGGGATTGTTCGTACCACTTAATCGGCACAGATTATCCAAAATCTGTCTCCAAAGTTTCAGATCCCTAGATCTGATCTTAAAAGTTTCATAGGAGAGTGATAACCGCTAGTGGATCTGAACTGTGAAGTCAGGGCTGACACCAGTTTATCAGTTGTTTTACACGCGGATAAACATGCGTGGGGAAATCCTATTCCAATAATAATTGAGAGACATTTCTTTATAGAATAAATAAGAATAAATTTAATAAACCATAAACAACTAAAACTAATACAAACTATTATATAAATGAGAGATAGTAAATGCGAATTTCAATCTATAAGTCGAGAGAGATACGGACTTATACTATAACCGATATAAGGTCGAGAGAGAGAGCTCACAAAATCATTTAAGAACATACAACCTGATCATTGTCTTTAAACTTCGGCTCTGTATATGAAGTATTTGTTTCACTTCTATAATTCTCTGTCTTCTTTCCTCTGGAGAGATCAACTTAACTTGATACATTTATATCTTTAGACTTAATCCTTGTATATTGTATGGCTCATAGCATAGGCGTTGGCCTTTAGGAGCAATATGAATGGAGTCCTGACTCTTCTATGTCTGTCGATGAACTCCCCGAATTCTGATAAATTTCCGCTATATCTGCTGATTTTCGACCAATCATCAGACAGAGACTCTTTCATGTGAACGGATGAAAGGGGAATAAATGAGGGGTGAACATTTCCCATCAAAGCTATATTTTTCGCAGATAAGGGAAAAACAGAGGATGTTCTAACTTCCCTAGAAGGAAGTAGCATCTGTTATCTATCTTTCCCACGTTGGAAAATCGTTAATTTCTCACCAAAACGAAATAATATTTTATGATAATATTTAACATCATAAAATAATTATTAATTGTAGACTCAGGACTATTCAGATCTCACAGAAGTACATTTCAAAAAAGTTTCATAAGGAAAGAATTTATTATATATATTTTTTTCTTTAACTAAAATCTAAAATCTTCAGAATATCTTAATCATGTACTAAGATAATAACATAAATAAAATATTACCTTTATGCTTACAGGAGTCATAAAAAGACCTTCCTTATTATAAAGGACTAAGTGCATTTAGAATTTGTCCATCTTCAAAATCCAAAAAGCAATTAACATCCAATTAGAATGTTCTATCATGTTTGAAATACCTCTGACTTTCAAACCTAATCCTTTGTAAACTTATTCTGTAAGAGCTTATCAACTCAGAAAGAAGTTGGAAATGAAATTTGAATTAGAATATCCTATATTTAAAACATCAATTTGATGGACAACACAACTGAAATATGGTATCAATCAGAATAGCATCAATAAGATTATTCCACAAAGAATTACACTCATACTTTCTTCAAGCAATTGGAAATAGTCATAAACTCATAACAAAATAAATGCCTTTAAAGCTATTCAAGAATCACGTACTCTAGCTAGTCTATCAATTAATAATAGTAATATTAATTGTTATATTAGATGAATAAGAATGTCGATCAGAGTCAGATTTGAGGCAATTGGAGCAACATGCGCCAATTGGGCCTTGCAGCACATCAAAATTTATATATTTAAAAATAGTACATGTTACAAAAATAAATATCTAGGCATATTATTATTAAAAATATAACAACAAATTTTTTTCTTAAAAAGTTCATGTCAATCATGTCGACTGAGAGTCAAGAAGCAAACCAGTTGGATTTTGATACTATTTTAGAAGATTTTACAGAACAAAAACTTTGGAACATATAAAACATCTCTTTATAGGTTTATATTCAATAAAATTCAGTTATATTCATTCATCAACATATTAGAAGATTTTTCATGGCAAAAATTTATGTAGTTATATTCATTTAAAAATATAGAAATACTAAAACATATCTATGTATTAAATTAATTAAAATATCTTTAACTGTGAGACAGATAATAGCAAAAGTTTATCACATCAATGATAATGGGCACAAGTGCTCAAGAATCAAAGTAAAAACATTTAATAAAACAAAAAGGGGTGAACAATAAGATGATTACATAAGTATAAAAACCGTAAAAATCCAAAATGCATTTTGGACTATTTTCCAATAGAAAAATAGTCCCTCATCAGTTGGTATTATCATTGGTGTGATAAGCTCTTACTATTATCTGCCTCACAGTTATAGATATTTTAATTAATTTAATTATACTTAGAGCTAAAAGCAATTTCTGTAGAAATAATATCTATGTATGTTTATATTCAATGAAATGTAGTTGTTTTTATCTTTGGTACAGGTTTTTTAATGTAGAAATTTGTCTACCTCATAGTTCATGACTTTTGATTTTTATAATTGGATTTTGGATTTTGTTTTAAATAAATATTTAAAATCTATACTTCAATATGTAAATTAACTGTTAACTAATTTTGTTATTTAGAGTTTGAGGGGCCCCACAAAAAAAAAAAATTCAATCAGGCCTCGCACCTATTGCATTCGGCCTTGATATCAGTAAAACAAAAACTCTACAATTTGCAATGTTTTAGCCATTAACAAAATTATCACATCATTTATATCAATTACTGCAAAAATAATTAATAATGATTGACAATTATACTATTTCAGAATGACTTATAATAGACAACAGATAGT